AATTGTGCAGTTGAGATATATAAATATTATATTAAAGTCATCGAGAGCATGAGAGATAGAAGAGAGATTGAAATAATGGAGTCAGCCACATTGCATGGTAGCAATGCTCACCTCAGCCCCGCTTGGTGGTCCTCGTGGAGAGAGGGGGAAGGGAAGGAGGACAAGGGGAAAGAGAACAGGGGAGCGAGGACGGGAGAGGAAAGGAGCAGCCAAGGAGAGTGGGAGCCGAGGAGAGGTCAAGGGAGAAGTTGAGAGAGAGATCTTTATTGCTAACCCAGGCCTATTTATCTTTGCGGGGAGTGCAAGCCCACTAATTCAAGTGAAGACATATGTCACAGGAAGGGGTTGCACTGTAGGTTATACAGCAATGAGAGGGGGACAATCTAGGGATATACACGCAATAGGAAGAGGAGGGATTGCAAGCACACATGTGACAAGATGGGCGGATCCTAGATTCAGGATGGCAGCCTAACTTTGGATGTAATGGAGCTGGTTGGACCTGTTCTCTGGATCTCCATAGGAACCATTATCAGTAGGACGAGAACCCCACCTAAGGGAACCAAGCTAATGGTCCTTAGGGGTAACCCATTGTCCTTAACAGCAGGGAGCGGGGCCTACCTACCTAGGCTGGCTGACTGATGGCCTTCAGATAGTATGTCTGTAAGCATCTGACCTCCCCCCCACCCCCAAATGCTAGCAAAAAGCCCCTAATGTCTTTGAGGGAGACAAGGCTGGGAAAAAGTCTCTTTATAATCCCACATATAGCAAGCCTTCTCCTTCCTAATAGATCGCAAACCAAAAGCAAACCCACTGATGTGAGTCCATCACGACGGATCGGATCATATTTCTATAGTGTAAAGCCATATTGCCCCCGTGACTGGCTCTGGGATCTTGGGCAGGCTGTGGTTTCATGTTTCCTAGCAGTGCAAAGTAGGACGTACCCAGAGACTGAGGCTAGCCAACCCGGGAGCGGCACAGCGAGCCCAGCCTCCGAGGGGAGGGCCACACGGCCAGCGCAGGAACTACACCAAAGACCAGACTGCCAACCTACTTCAGATGAGCCAATCAGTGGATTGACGGGAAGGGGGGGCTGGGAACGCCCCTTTCGTATACCTGTAAATAAATACTTTGGAATTTCTTTTGTGGGGGCTCTTGTCCAAGATGGTGCACGCAGTTAAGCACCTGAGGACTTGAGCCCTGGCTTAAGCTAGCATAATAAAACCTCTTCTGTTATTGCAGCCTTGTGCTTGATCTCCTTCCATTAAAAGGGTAATTGCTCCAGGTCCCTAACATTAGGATAGGGTAGGACTGCCTCACAGGGTTGCCAAGGCTGGAAAGCTTTCCACAATCAGACTGACGCAGCCATCTCATGTGGAGCAGCTGGTGGGTTCTAACCACTCACCTTTCAGTTAGCAGTTGAGGGCTTAACTACTGCTCCGCCCAAGCTTCATTCCTGATCCTCCCTAATCACAGTTCACTGTACCCTGCTGGTGACGTACACGGTTTGGGCACAAAAGCAGTTGCTTCACACTAGAGCTGAGAAAGGTTCTCAATGACTCCCAACCACGGTGGCGGACTGAGAAGCCCTGAAGTGTTATTGCCAGAGGAGGAAAGCCCAAGTGCTCAGCTGACGTTGGCACCCGGAATTGTTTATCCCTGAAGCGACTCTGGGAACATCATGGAGTCCTAAGTGGAGTTGGTTTTGTTCTTGTTTCTGACTCTTGATTTCGGTAAAACTTTACAGAGCAAACTGGCATTTAACAATGTGTTTCCCGTTAACATAAGAAACACACATTTTGTTTTGTGACATCGATGGCAATCCCACGATGCAGTGTTGTGTGTACATCCTTTTTCTTCCTAGGTAAGGTCTGTTCTTATAGCTTCTAAGCCTCTTCAAGATGCCTGAGACCTTGCAACGAAGATCAAGAGTCAGCCTGCTCCTGGACAGCCCCTAGCTAAGCATGACTTTTCTATTTTTAAATGGCTGGAGAGTGGGGGATCAAAAGAACATACTTCAGGAGAACTTGAAAATTATCTCAAACTTTGTCCTCATAAATAACACGTTACTGGAGCACAGTCACACGGTCATTTATGGCTGCTTTTGTGCTACCATGAACCTTGAGAAGCTTCTAAAAGCCGAAAATATTTACTATCTGATCCTTTACTGAAAAAGTTTTCAGACTCTTGCTAAAGATGGGCTAGGTAATATATTTCGTACCTCCATTTTTCACTTGCATGAAGATACTGTTAGGATTGATAAAGTAGAAATGTATTTTAAATTATTATGAAATGGAGTGGACATTAGTCATCTGACCTTTCTTTCTGTATATTCACACACACACACACACACACCGCCCCCTTGCAGAAAGCCATCATCTTCATTTCCCACCACCTCCCTGGCAGGCAGGGCATAGTCACTTGAGGTAGGATCAGCTCTTTAAAGATCCTATGCAGCACTTTGAAATAGGAGTCACCCAAAAACAGCAAGGAGAGGAAAGATCATTCTGGCAGTAGCCAAGACTAGAGCAGTTACATCTGGTTCCCAGGAGAGGCAGGGCCCCAAGTGATGGAGGTGAGTGCAGTAGTGCCTTGGTTCTGATGGCACATCAATGGGGTCCTCACCAGACAGTCCCTCAAACAAGGCTTTTTCTCTTTGGTCCTAGCTTTCTCGCCTCCGAGTCAGCCTGGCCAGGTGAAGTTCAGGCCCTCGGAAGAGGCTGAGCCTGCGCCATTCACTGCCATTCACGGCGGAGCAGGGTGAGACCAAGTATGAACTCCAGGGCAGAAACAGTGGCTGGTTCATTTTCGTATGTCCAGCACCTAAGGTAACGCTGACACTTAGAAAGTGCTCGCTATTTGATGAAAGGGTCAGTGAGTATGTGCATGAGTTGGTAAGCGAACAGACCAGGAATATCTGCCTTGGACAGACTCCAGACACTTGTCATGGTCAAGGCCTCACGAGAAGGGAATATAAAGACAGTCCTGCTTGCAAGCCCTCTCTATGGCTCACCAGGTTACCTGGAACATCTATGCTCCAATGATGAGAAGTGATCAGAACTTGGGGACTCGTGTGAATTTGACCCTGGGCTAGGCACCCCAGGCCCCCTTCAAATGATGTCTGTTGTCTTCTAGAAACAGCTGGTTAAATACTATGCACGTGTGTGTGTGTGTGTGTGTGTGTGTGTGTGTGTGTGTGCTCGCGCGTGCGCGCGCACGCATGCTAACTAGGAGGAAATGGATCGGGACTTATACACTTAGCTTCTACCCTGGTGCTGGACTGCAGGCTGCTGTGTAGCAAGAAATTTAGAGTTGGCCCTAAGGATCCTTCTCCTGGTGGATTTGTAATTTGGAAAGGTTATTACAGAGCTAAGGGATAATTAGGCACATTGAATTACTTCTGGATCTATTTCTGTATCAAGGTGACAGCTTTTTAAAGATCTGGAAAGCAGAGAGACACTGATGAGAACTTCCAAAGCAAAACATGAGGAATTGATCGTGGCATTCCCACAAAGCTCAGTGCCTCAGTGCCAGGCAGCGGCTTTCCTGACAGCAGCCTTTTTCATAATCCCAAGAGCCATACAAGGATAGAGCCGTGCTTGTTGAGACAGTGCAGGAGGGCAGAGCCTTCGCAAGGGAAACCAGGACAATTTTAATAGCATCTCTGTAACAAGTGTAGTCTTTATTCATTTTATATGCCAACGTTCACTGCAGCATTATTAAAAAAGCCCAAAGGTGGAAATAACCGAAATGTTCATCAATAGACGGATGAGTAAAAAAAATGTGGTACATACATACAATGGAATATTATTCCGTCAGGAAGGAAAATTAAGTTCTGATGCATGTTATATGCCAAAACATTCTGCTGAGTGAAACACGTCAGATACCAGGACAAATATTCTATGATCCCATTTATATGAGATAAGTAATATAGTCTGGCTACAAAATCATAGACACCTTTATAAAATCAAAATACCAAGATGCGAAGCTATTGTTTTTGACAAATTCTTCACCAAAGTCTACAGTGTGTAGATCATAAACTATGGATAGGCTTGTGAAGAATGGGAATTACAGAACACTTAATTGTGTTCATGCAGAACTGACTATTATTCGAGCAGAACAAAAGAACACTGCATGGTTTAAAATCAAACTGCCCACCCTCACATCCCCTCCAACACCAAACATCAGAATTACAGCCCTGAGGGTAGGGGAAGAGAGGAGGTATTGGCACTGATGACTGTGTAACCCCACTTGAGGAGAGCGGACAACAGAATTATATGTGAATGAATATACTGGGTGGTGTAAGATAATAAATAAGGGGGATAAGGTGGGGGAGGAAAGGGATACCGAGTTCAAGAGAAAAGAAAATGATTTGAAACTGTGGTAGCAATTGTACAATACTGCTTGATGGGATTGAACTATGGAATCTTATGATACCTGTAAGAGCTCCCAATAAAATGATTAAAAAGAAATTCTACTCCAAAAATAATAAGACATATTTATTACCTTTTATAACTTCTGTGAGTAAGGTATTTGGGAATGGCTTTCTAGGAAGTTCTGGCTCACGAGGGTCTAGCTAAGATGTCAGCAAGGATGGCAGTTATGTTAAGGCCTGATTGAGGTCGGAGAATTATCACTTTCCAGGTGGTGCACACACGTTTGCCACGCTGTGCTGGTTGTTTGGTATGAGGCTAAAGTTCCTCTGTGTGGGATCCTCCATGGAGTTGTCTGGGTACCTTGCTGTGACATTAATCCTCCACAGAATGAGTAATACAAGAGGCGAAGATGGAAACAGCAACACCTTTTCTCATGTAGCCCAAGGAGGCATGCATCGTCACTGCTGCCATTCTTGATTGGTCACAATGACTATCTCTGGTTAAATATGGAAAGAAACTGTGCAAAGGCATCGACTGATCACTGGGGGCCCTCGGAGAGGCTGCCAGACAAACCTCTTTACTATCCCCTAAAACAAACAGAACAAACTGCAAATAAAGAGCGGAATATGAATTTAGATTGGTTTAATGTATAATGCTTGATCTTCAGAACTGGATGTGCCACCTGGTCTTCTGCACACCTGTTTGCCATCTAGCTATAAAGGGGCTATAAGGGGAGGCAAGGCTTAGAAGTGATGCTATCCCAAGAGCTCCTCTCAGTTCTCAGGTCTGATTCTATGTAATCGGCAAAGATAAAGCTCTGCAAGACTCTTGAAGAACTTGACATTTACACTGAGCGTCTGCTATTGAATAAAGACATTCTAAAATGCGTCATTAGAAGAATCAACTCAGTTTATTTATGTTTTACAGAAAAATTATTACAATTGAATATATTTGGACACAGATATTTGACATGAAAAGTAGTTGTTATCAAAAGAAAAGCAACTCATCTTACACATAATAACTAGAAAATATTTCTCTGATCACTTAAGAGTTACAAATCCTGAGAATGTTATCTACTGAATAAACTAAGTATGACCTTGTAATTAAATTGTGTTTGGAAATAATCCTTAAAAAAAAATCTCCTGAGGCGCAAATCACCTTGGTATTCAACATGAGTCGTTTGCATTTTACAAAGAGTTTAAACAAATAGTATCAGATATTTACAGTTTAATGGCTCTTAAACAGCGATTAATCAGGTTCAAGGACACACTGCTCCACGATTTCACGTAAGTTGGGATTCTCCATTGCAGCTGCCACTCGTTCTTTATCGTTTATCTGCTTGTTGACTGCAAAACACACAGACGAAAGTGAGCAGAATTAGACAGGGACAGACAGGATGGTTATTAGCTTGGTAAAGCATCTACCCTGCTACTCAATTTTTTTGAGAACTTAAATGAAGCTGTTGTTGGCTAATTAGTCACTGTGCAATTTCTAAGTCCGGGAAAGCAATGTTAAGAGAGCGAGAGGGAAAAAAATCCCTTATAATCCGACCACTATTTTCACCCCCTTCTCTTTAATCTTTACCCACACACAGTCTTACATATTTATAGCAACACAGGGTCTCCGAGGTCGCACTGAGCCTCGGAGGCACTCAACAAAGAAGTACTTCCTAAATATAGCCATTAAAGTCAGAGGTGCTTTCTAGGCCGAGGGTAGGGCTAGGGGCATCTAAATGCTTTCATGCTTAGAATTAGGAAGCAGAAGCTGCCTGTTTACTGGGTTTGAGTAAATGTAGCCCCGAGGAGTGAAATAACCAATGTGCTTGGAATTGTGAGACTAGAGCATGGTGTGAAGCGTTTTCATGACGGTGCCTTGATGGGCTGTCCGCTCTGCAGCTCCCTTTCTGAGTCATTGTCTTACTGTGTCTCCTGTTGCTCTTACTCAATCCTATGTCTTCCTTCCCTCCTCTGCTACCTTTACCCAACTTCTCAATTGACCCCTAGTGATGAAAATGACAGGCACGTCAGAGAGAGTTCTCGCTATCTGTTCTGTTTTCCATGTACCAAGTAGGTCATGTACAACATTTTGGTTTGCTTATTTCCCAAACTCGGCCTCTGTAATTTTAAAGTACTGATGGGTTGAATTCTTTCAGGAGACCAGATGTCCTCTATATAAAAAAGATTTCTTCCTCTCATTTGAACCAGACAGAGCACCCTTATCCCAAGACTCCACACAGCTTTATTTATCGGACCTGCTAGGACTCATTAAAATATACTCACTTTCAGGAACACACCTGTCTACTGAAGGAAAGAATCAAATCTTCTTTAAAGTTTGTAAGTCAAGGTCTCAAAAGCTAGGTTTTCTTTGCAGATGGTAGCCATTGACCTAAGCCAGTGAACATCCACCAGGCCTGGCTCCATTTTGGCCAGAGTTCCACAATACAATCATAATATGTATATATATATATACACATATACATACACATACATATACATTAAGAGGCACCGAAAAGAAACCCAGATTTTTTTTCAAAGCTATGTATATAAATTATTTTACAAAACAGTCTTATCCTCTTCAAAGTACTCTCTATTACACTTTATACATTTGTCAAATCTGCAATTCTATTCTTGGAAGCATTTTTCAAACTCATCTGTTTGGAGAGCTGACAGCATCTCCCTTGTTTTTTCTCCACCTTTTCTACGTCATCACACTGCTGTTCTTTCACATCCCTCTGCATTCGCAGAAACAAGAAGTGGCAAGAGTGAGGTCAGGTGAGTAAAGTGCAAGCGAGGTATGCTGTATTTTGTCAAAAACTGGTGCACTGAGACGGCTGAGTGAGTAGGTACATTGTTCTGGTGGCAAACCCAGTCCATCTGCCACAAATCAGGCCTGTTTTGTTGCTCCCTGTTACACATCTTTTCAGAACCTCTAAATAGAAAGCTTGATTAACAGTCTGACCTGGTGGAACGAACTCCAAATGCACTACGAGTGGACATTTCCATCCATTCGGGAAATGGACGCCCAGAATGAGGTTTGTCATCAATTGACATTTACCTTGTTTGAAATGAGAAAACCACTCGTACACTTGAGTTTTTCTGATAGCACTGTCCTTGTAAGCTGTGTTCAACATCACAACAGTTTCTGCAGCATTTTTCCCAAGAAGGAAAAAAAAATTCACAACTGTGCGCACGTGTGCGCACACACACACATACACACACGTGTGTATTCCTTGAAATGCCTGGGTCTTTCCTTTACTCAGCTGTCAGAGAGACCTGGTATCCATTATACAGGACTAGCTGAAGTAGTTTTCTAATTACATTTCTGGATTCACTTACTGTCTTCTTCAGTTGAGTGGGTTCCTTCAGAAATGTAGATTTCCAACTAGAGAAAGAAATATTAAAGGCAAATATTAAAACATTCAAAAATGGAAGTAAGGAACGCCCAGTGAACTCAAGGGTCCAAGGGTGTGAGTCCAAATCCTGCCTCTACCGTCAAAGACGCAGAGAAAAGCCCCCAAATTCTTCTCTGAAACGAAACTGAAATAAGCGAAGGTTTTTTCCCCTCCTTCATCTGGAGAAGAGTGGTAGGGGGCATTCCCTTTAGTTTTTTCCTATATAAACACAATTTTAAGGCACTCTAGGGGTGCGCCCGTTGGCTGCTACCCGGAAAGGCTGGTCGTTTGAAGCAACCCAGCAGCTCCCTGGTATGAAGGCCTGGTGGTCTGTTCTCATCCAGGTGACTGCTGAGAAAACCCTCTGGGGCAGTTCTACTCTGTCACATGGGGTTGCTATGAGTCAGACCGATACACAAAGTTTTACACAAATGAGACCTCATGCCTGCTGCTTTACTCATGGATACAGTCACATAATCTTGCACAGATTATATATACATATGTGCTCACACATTGTGTAGTTACATAATCTGGTATCAATTGGAGGATTAAGAGTGTAGGGGTGGAGTCTAGCCTGTCAATCAGAATAGAGCCAATGAAGGCTCTTTGTGGGCAAGGCCTTCTTCTGAGGATTCTGGGAACTCCAGTATTTCCTCCTTGAAGGCTGGAGACACTCTCTCTGTTCACTCCCTGTAAGACATCCCTGTGGAGAAGACACATGGAGAGAGGCTGATGGAGCCAGACCTCTGGAGCCAGAGAAGCCACATGGAGAGCCCTGCCAGCGCTGAGATGCTTACAACACCACTGGATCCACAAGACTTCCCAACCACTGGCCTTGTGATCTTCCTGCATTCGACGTCATTGCATGTGTTTCGTGAGTCTGAAGAGGATTTTATAGACTGATATAAGACTTATGGGCTAATATCAGACTTATGGACTTGATCTGGGCTGGGCTATTTTCTTAATGTTCAATTGCTCTTGTATATAAAGCTCTTTCTTATACACATGTGTCTATGAATTTGTTTCTCTAGTCTACCTGGACTAACACACACATATACATAAATATCACAGGAATATATAAGGAAGCGTCAAAAAGTTTGTGGGAAAATTCCATTATCTATCTTTCAATTCCAGCTTTCTAAACTGTTTGAAGTCCCCTTGTACATGTACAGATCATGCCTACATACATACCCCACATCCAGCAAGGTTGGAGTCCACTTTCTTTGTTTTTCTTGCTTTACAAAAGCAGAATCGCCACATCTATAGTCTTCAACACCCTCCTTTTCTCATTCACTGTCACCTTGCTAAATATATGCTCAGGTATTATACTGGTTGCGCTATCCCTTCTGGCTGTGTGTACCTCTCAAATTAACTAAGTTCCACAAACGACAGCTTTTGAGGCAAACACAGACAATTATTGCAAATAAAGCACGCTAATGATAACAAAGGCATGTCTACTCTCCAAAGGACATTAGAGCACAAGAACTCACTCTTACTTACAATAGAGATAAATTGTTTCATGAGTGAAAACAATTGTGTAGTCCACTAGAGTGTAAGAAGATCTTACAGAGAAATCAAGAAAACAATACCATTTACACTAGCCACCCCAAAGGTGAAATACTTAGGAATAAGCTTAACCAGAGAAATAAAGGACTTGTACTAAGAAAACTACAAAACACCAAAAGATACCTACAAATGTGGAAGAATATACATGCTTATGGATAGGAAAACAACATGGTGAAAATGTATATACTACACAGAATCTATCACTAAGTAATTTCATCTTTTGAGTGGCTGGTATTGAGTAAATAATAATGTTTGCTTGATATACTGGACCAAGGGATTAATCTCTAAAATCTACATAAAACTTCAACGCATTACCAAAAAAAAAGACGAACCCAATTTTAAAATGGGCAGAGGATAGCTATCTGAGAAAGCATTGTGAAGTCAATTATGGCAGATGTAGTTAGGTTAAAATATAACAACTTATCATTTGATTTCCCTTTTGCCTTAAAGTTTTTGTTTTTGATATTTTCTCTCTTTTAGATTGAGGTTTTTTTCTGTGTTTTATTTTGTAACTGTTGGGGTATTTTTTGCTTTTTTCTTGTTCTTGTTTTGTTAATTTTTTTTTGTATGAAATCCAGGATGGATAAATCTATAAGTAATAACTAGATTAATAATTACCTAGGGGCATGGCATGAGGAATCCTGGTTGCCTAGTGGTTACAAGGTTGGCTGCTAACCACAATGTCAGCAATTCCAAACCACTAGTGACTCCACAAGAAAAAGACAAAGCTTTCTCCCACTGTACAGTTACAGTCTCAGAAAACACATGGGTGTAGTGCTACCCTGTCTTAGAGGGACGCTGTAAGTCCGAATAACTGGACAGGAGAGTTTTTGAGAGGTACGGCAGGGGAGGTTGGGAGAAATGGGGAGATAACAATGAGTACGAGAAAGAAGAAAATGTTCTGAAATTGCTTGTGGCAATGATTGTACAAGTCTTCCTAATATGACTGAACCATTACATTGTATATGTAAATTATAAGCCAATAAAATGATTTTTAAAATGGGCAGAGGATATGAAGAGACAGTTCACCAAAGAAGACACTCAGGTTGCCAATAAACATACAAAGAAATGCTCTCAATCACTAGCCATCGGTGATGCAAATTAAAACAATGATGAGATACCACCTCACATTGGTTTTGGTATTAATAAGAAGTTTTAAAAACCAGAAAATAACAAATGCTGGAGGGGGCATGGAGAGGATGGCACCTCCATATACTGCAGGTGAAACTGTAACATGGTATAGCCATGGTGGAAAGCAGTATGGTACCTCCTCAAACAAATGGAAATAGCAATACTACATGATGCAGCAATAATCACGCTACTTGGTATTTAAACCAAAAGCCAAACTCACTACCCTTGCATCCATGCCAACTCATAGTGATCCTTTGGACACAGTAGAACTGCCTATGTGTGTTCCTGAGACTGGATTCCTTTGGGGAGTAGAAAGCTACATTTTTCTCCTGGTGGTTTCAATTGCTGGCCATGAGTGTAGCAGCCCATTGCACAACCACTAGGCTCCCTGCTTGGTACACACCCTCCACAAATAAGAGACACAGCACAGATAGATGTCCACACAGCACTACTCACAATGCAAGATGGCGGAAACAAACTTCATGCCCAACAGTAGGAAAATGGGTAAACTTTGGTACATACATCCAATGGGATTATTTTGCATTGTTAAAGAATAATGTGAAACCGTAAAACACTTCATGACATGGATGGATATGGAGCACATTATGCTGAGTGAAGTTAGTTGATCACAAAAGGGCAACCACTGTATTGAAAATAAATGAATTCATTAAGAAAAGGTTTTCATACCGAATGAAACACTTTGATGGCTACCAGAGGTGACAGGGTAAGAGGAGAAAGGGGGAGTGAGGGGCTAGAGGGCTGACAGGTGTTACTTTGGGTAAAGGGGAAAATAATATCGTACGAGAGAGATGTAGTGGGAAGAGGCAGGCAGGACAGGGAAAACCGCTGGGAGTGGGATAGTGTCTGAACACAAAAACAATGACCCCCCCCCCATCTAATTCTCAATTACAAAGGTAAATAAATTGTAAAAAGACCTTAGAGATCAGCACATTCATCTTTTAGAAAAGAGACCACCACACAGACTCACCTAAAGCTCTTATTCTAGTTACTCAAGAGCTAGCACAGATAGGAAGGGTACACTTTTATTTTAATTTTGTAATTATTCATGGCTCCTTATTCTAAAAAGCAGTGCATAAGGGAGAAGAGTCGAGCATTTACCCTGCTCTTCTTAGATGAACGATACAATAGAGCAGCCAGACAGTTAAGGAGGAAACGTCCCTCCTTCATAGAGAAACTTCAGCTAATAAAGAGGTGACAGACTATCATCAATGTATGAGCCTTTGACTAAATAATAAAGCTGGACAATGGTCATCAATGGCTGTCCAAAGAATACAGTGAAGACCTGACAAGGAACTTCATAATGGAAGTTAGGGTGAGGCATAAAGGTCAGGCTGACAACATCTGACCTCAATGAACCATCTGAGCCTCACAAAAAGACAGTCAACCGGACATCTCGTCTCTCAATGGGACGCAGTCGGAAGTGTACAATATCGCCTATTCAAAGAGTTGACTGAGCAACAATAACAAAAAGACTATGAATCTGATCAGGAAGCATGTTAATCTAACTACAGAAAACATAAAGGGCAAAAGCCAAATTCATTGCCATCAAGTGGATTCCGACTCACAATCACCCCACAGGACAGAGCAGAACCCCCCTTTTGGGTTACTGAGACTATAATTATTTATAGAAGCAGAAAACCTCTCTCTCTCTTTTCAGAAAACCTTATCTTTCTCCTTCAGAGCACCTAGTGGGTTTGAACAGCTGACCTTTCACGTTTCCTTTTTTTTAATTTTATTTTTTTTTTTAATGTTTTGAGCACGTTTAAGGTTGATGAAAATGTTCTACAATTGACAAATGGTGAAGTCACACAACTCCATAGATAATGATGGCTAAGTCAAAAGGCACTGTGATAAAATTGTGGAACTTCATTAAACAAAAGTAGAAACCATGAAGCTAATGTTTCTTAGCATACCTTCAACCTGGGTCTATTAACTTCTTGAGCGTGTACACTCTTCCTCAAAGAATCCTGTGCTTTTCGATTTACACCATATTAAACCTGCAGCTTGGACATCACCCAGGGATTCAAATCATGTGCCTTTTCAATGCTCAAAAAGCAGTCTGGAGGACTAGATCAGGACTGCAGGGCGTCCGGGTAATGTCCTTGCTGTCCTCAAAGGGGGAGCAGGCGCACTGTGCACCTTTCCTGACCTTTTTCTGGTCAATGCAATTTTCCACGTCACTAAAACTTCTTCAGAATAAGCCCCATGATCACCCCGCGTCCTCTGAGGACATCTATTATGACTACCCCTGTGGGCTCCACCCCACAACCAAGAACAACAGGCCTATAACCTTCTCAAGGGAATCTTCTGTCTCGGATTTCACTGGCCCTGCAGATCCCCTCAAAAGCCACTGTTTTGACTGGGCTTTTTTTTTAAGGTGATCTAACAAGACTAAGACAAGTTTATTCCTGAGAGAATTTGCCTGCAGCCGTTCACCGATCAGAGACAAGCTTAAGCATTTCTGGTTTGGAATAGACCGTATGAATGAACTGGAACACTAGTAGCAACATTTTCCGAGTAATTCTCATACATGGAAAACCACGGAATTGTGCAGTTAATATGGGTGAAGTATATGGTATGTAAATTATATATCAATAAAACTATTATAAAAAGACAGGTTTGACAAGGTATTGAATGCAAAAACGATGTCTTGATAGGTAACAGGGGAAAAAAAAGGCAAAAACAAAACAAACTCCCTGTCATTGAGCCTATTCTGACCCACAGTGAGCCTACAGTACGGAACAGCACTGCCCCTGTCCAAGGGCGTAAATCTTCATAGGAGGAGAGATCTTCATCTTTCTCTCCAGAGTGGGGACCTTGCAGGTAGCAGCCCACTTGCCACGAGGGCTCCTTTCTGATCACGTAAACCCCCACCTAATTCACAATAAAAATTAAGAATTAAAAAGGCAAGAAAGTTCATATCCTTACCTTATGCTTAAACGGTAAACACCGCTGAAGTTTTACTCTTAAGCAGAGCCCTGGGAAGAAAAAAAAAAGAAAAAACTCCAATTACCTCTTCTAGTTGGTTTTTGTCCTTGAGAAAGCACACAGCTGTGGTGTCAATGACTGCTCGCTCTCTCACCAAATGTGGAGAGTGAGGTTATCCCCTGCAGACCGAAACCAACTCCAGACTAGTGGCCCTGCTAGTGACCAGAGATGAGAATGAACATGCATTGAGTCCTGACCCATGCCATGGATTTAGTCTTACCAACCCCATTTACACGTTATGAAACCCAGGTCACAGGGTAACTTGCCCAAGAATAATGATATTATAAAGTGGCAGAGTTGGGAACTGCCCCTGTGGGTTTCCTAGGCTGTTCATTTTTACAGAAGCAGACCTCCACATCTCTCTCCCGTGCTGCAGCTAGTGAGTTCACACTACTGACCATTCAGTTAGCACTCAAGTGCTTAGCCATTGCACCACCAGGGATCCCTGTTTATATATGCCATCATTCACTTCACGGGTGGAGAACATACGGCCTGTGGGCCAGCAGTTCCAGACATCACCACAGGGGTGAGTTAATTAAATGTTTGACCAGTATGGTCTGTGAATCATGTTAGAAATATCCAATTGGCCCTTGTCAGAATAAAAGTTCCTCATCCCTGATTTAATTAATCTTCTGAGGAGCATTTCACTTGAAATAAATTCCCTTCACATTATTTATGGAGTCCTGTGGTGTTGTCGGGTAAGCATTGTACTACTAACCACAAGATTGGTGGTTCAAATCTATCAAGAAAGATGAGGCTCTCTGTTCCGATAACCACAGCCTCAGGAAGTCTGTATAGGGTTGCTTGCAGGTGGAACTGACTTGACTGCTAGCAGTGGGTTTGGGTTTGGGTTTCACTATTAACAGCAAAGCACACGTCCAAAGACACCTATTGTGTAACTTGCTGCTAACAAATCTAAAATATGGAGAATGTATCCTCTCAATAGAAAACAACTTCAAAACTACTCTCCCACCAGGACCTGTGTCTGTATTACACGGAAGCCAACGGAGAGGATGGTGATGGCAACAGACCAGTGTTGAACAGAGGGCTGCCTCCATTAATCTGGGGTGTGTGCACTTAAAAGCAGCAGTGTGAGGGGCAGATTTAGAGTCAGGAGTCCTGGGCCTGAGCCTCAGATTTATCATTCCCTGGCTACCTGGTGCCGAGCAAGTCACTTCAACTCTCTGAGCCTCACGTTCCTCATCTGGAAGAGGAAGATAAGTTTAATTCCTGCCTCGGCTAACTGTGGGAACTCCTGAAGATAAAGACATGTTAGCCATAAAGTGTGACCAACCAAACCAAACCAAACCAAACCAAACTCATGGCCATTGAGGTGATTCCAAGTCACAGCAACCCTGTAAGGGTAGGGTAGAACTGCCCCTGTGGGTTTCCAAGATGCTAACTCTTTACGGAATTGAAAGCCTCATCTTTCTCCTGCAGAATGGCTGATGGTTTTGAACTGCTGACCTTATGATTAACAGCCCAACCAGAGGTCCTCTATAAAGTGTGCTTCATGGTGTAAATCGTTATTTTGGGGTCAGAATTAGCAAAAAATAACTTGGAATTTAAAAATACATACCCACAGAACAGATTCTGACCCACAGCAACCCTATATATAGTGTAACTGCCTCTTCTGGGCTTCTAAAACTTGAACTCCTTACTGGAGCAAACAGCATCATCTTTCTCATACGAGTAGCGGGCAAGTTTGCACTACTGATCCTGTGGTTAGCAGCTCAATGTGTAAAACTATATGTAAACACATATATTTCGATAACCTCACCGATAAGAGTTGCCAGAGAGCAATGAGGTACTGTGGGCGTGAACTTGATGATGACCAGATAGTCTTCGTCATGCATCTCCTGAACCTCCACACAACTCTCCGTTACCACTTCCAGTTCTTCTAAAGTATTGGGCTTCTCTGGGTCCCGAATAGTTCGAATCAAATCTAAAACAGCATCAAAGACAAAGCACTGCACTTAAAAATGAACAATCTACATAAAGATGAATTTGTCCATTTTAATCTAAACATTAAGTTCTTTTAGTTTAAGTACATAGTACAGCAACTTCCCAGGTTTCTGACAAATATTTACTAGTCTACCAATTTCCTTTTGAGAAAACTGTTTTCCAGGATTATTATTAGACCCACATCCAACATTTGAATTCATGGTTCTGGTGAAGAAAAATGAAAGTGCCATGGACTGCCAGACCAACACACAAAATATCTCTTGGAAGAAGTGTGGCTAGAATGCTCCTGAGAAGCAAGGAAGGGCTCTCGAGTATTGGGGGCATGATATCAGGAGAGCCCACTCTCTGGAAGAGGGCATGATGCTTGGCAAAGTAGTCGGTGGAAGCAGCTCTGTGGAAGACAGATGAGGCGGGCTGCTTCTGTGAAGGCTTATAGCCCAGAAAGCCTGTGGAGCAGTTCTACTACGTCCTACAGGGTAGCAGAGTCGGAACGGGCTCAATGGCAGTGAGCAGGGGACGTGACATGGCAGCGTTATTGCTAGCTGGTAACTCACCCACCAGCACCCAAGACAAAGCTAGGACGACGAGCTGAAAGACCCGAGCCTAAAACCGGCCCCTGACAACAGAGACGAGAGAGCAGGTGAAGGAATTCCAAACGCAAAGAACAAGACTTGCTAACTGTTTGGATGCAGACAACAAGAAAAGGAAAAAAAATAAAGGACTCCGATTCAAGGCTAAGTGTCTGGGAGAAAAGTGCAAAACTCAAAACAGAACAGAGACATCCAGGTGAGCTCACCTCAACAATGATTCTGAGGTGCCTAAGGGGCAATCTGGTAGAACTGTACAGCAGACACTGAACTGTGGCACAAGGTCTAAATGAGCACCAGGGCTAGAGTGGTTGTTGAACCCAGGTGGTTCACAAAGGAGTGAGAACAGTAGCTTTAACTTAATACTGGCCTCACTGGGAATGCTTTGAAAGCATGTTTATGTCGGACACAATCAAACACCTCACAGGTTTGCTTTCTGGGTTTACTCATGAGACAAGCTGGTCGATTGGCAGAGCATAACTCATAAAGATAATGTTCTACATTCTAGTTTCACAGCTCTTAAAAACACCGTCTGCCATCAATGCAAGACTATTCTTATTTGGAACAAAAGACAATGAAGGATACCCGGGGCTCAAGGAAGAAACTAGCGCACAGGACTGAGAGCACCGGAGCTGGGTGGTCCTCAGCTACCACTGCTGACTGTTCTGACCATGGACACAATATAAGGACCAGATAGAACGAGAGAAAAATGTAGAACAAAACAAACAAAAAAAAAGGTCAGACTTAGTGGACCAATAGAGTCTAGAAGAACCCCAAGACCCTGAGATATCCTTTGAACTTGGAACGTAAGCCAATTCTGGTAGTAACCTTGCACTGGAATAATAAACTGGCTTATAAAATAAATAATGTCACCTGGGAGTACCATGCTCCTTGAAGTAATCAACTATCTGAACCCAAATGGTCAACGCTACCCCCCAAACCAAGATGAGATGCTAAAGAAGAACAGGGAAGCTAGATTAATGGAAACAAAACAAACAGAATGGAGAAAATAAGAATGTTGACACATTTGGAAAATTAAACTGATGTCACAGAATCATTTGCTAAACAATGTTAAATAGGAACCTAATACGCTATATGAACTTTCATGTAAAATACAATTAAAAAAATTTTTTAATTTGATTATCTGGGTCCTAGCCCCAAGATTCTGATTTACGGTAGTTGGTATGAAGTCTGGCCAAACATTGAGAGTTTTAAATAAATTAAAAAATTTATTCTTTCTTTTTTTTTTTTTTCAAGTGTTGTTATAGACGACAAAGTTTTAGAGCAGCGGTTCTCAACCTGTGGGTTGCAACCCCTTTGGGGGTCAAACGACCTTTTCACAGGGGTCACTCGATTCATCACAGTAGCAAAATTATAGTTATGAAGTAGCAACAAAAATAATTTTATGGTTGGGGGGGTTCACCATAACATGAGGAATTGTATTAAAGGGTCATGGCATTAGGAAGGTTGAAAACCACTGTCTTAAGAGTATCCTGAATGATCCCCATTATGTTTTTTCTTTAATTAATTGGGATTAATACATATGTCAAATCATTCCATAGTTCAACCATGTCCAGCAGAATAGTACATTTGCTACCAAAATCAGTTTCCAAGCATTCTTTTTCTATAAGGACCCCTTGAAATTATCCCCCAGTTATTCTTTTTTTTTTTTTTTTAACATTTTATTAGGGGCTCATACAACTGC